ATTTTAGTGGAGATATGCTGCCATGCAAACATGTCTACAATACAGTACTTCTTAAAGTCAAGTCATTAGTTTTTTTCTTTGTTGTTTTGCTTCCAAGAATCCAAAGTTTTTTGCAAAATTTCAAAACAGATTTTAACATTTTTATCAAAGCTTTTAAGTTCTTTGACAGGTGTATCACTCATTTATTATACTTACTAATAGGGATGTAAATCATCAGCTTTATCACGATACGATATTACATCGATATGTTTGGACGATGATTCGATATTTCTCGATATCTCAAAATCTGTCACGATACCATTTCGTTCAGTTCAGTTCAGTTCACATGTCTGCGATCGATATAATGTGATATCATATGCCCATCTAACACAATGACTGTGTTAGATGGGCATATGATATCAATTCCCATTGAGCACATGATGACAATAAAGAGTGATATTTTCATTTTACCTCACTGTAACTGAATCATGAACCATTCAAATYGATATATCRATATAGATYGATGTATTATTACACCCCTACTTACTAACATGTTGGTAATAACTCCACAGCTTCGGTAAAGTCACATTAGGTTAGTTTGTGGTCCTTTTTAGCACAGGACAGTTTGTGTTTAGAGCACAAAATAAGGGTAAAAGTGTTGTAGACCACCTATGATGTGGTCTGAGCAATGCTCGTTTCAGGCCCAGTTTACATACAGTATGAATGAGGTCTTAGAAATGTTATAGATTTTCCAACAATGATTGTATGATTGATTGTGATACGATATTGGGAAAAACCTGGCATTGCAATTGTTTTCTAACTCTGCGATATATTTGGTAATTTATAAAGTAAATTTCAACAGATGATGTATATCGTGTATAATACTATAATAGCACTTTAAGCTAAGCTATCATGTTGTCGATGATGAACCTGCACCAATCTTACCTCTTTTTTGTGCATGGTACAAGTATGTTTTTTGTCTGTATTTGACAGTTATTCTAGTTATCTTTTATTTCTTGCTTTTATTGCTCGACAAACTGAGTACATTTCCTTCTATCATTCGCAACCATGATTTGCGTTTTACCAAGCAAACCTAATGKGTTGCCATTGTGTCGAGCTTAGTTTCTGTTTCTGTCACGTTTTAATAGCATCAAAACTGTATTTCACCTCTATTTATCCTCATTTTTGTCGAGATCCTCCACATTTTCCTCCACTGTTCATTTCATTTCATTTTATTCTTTTTACACCAAAAAATGTGTCTTATTTTTTGTGTCTTATCGGTTTGCAGCCACTTCCACCAGTGGAAGCAACCAGCCGTAACACACAAYGATTTCGTGCAATAAATTGTGATTTTCACATTGATTTAATTTGCCTCCTACGTGACTACTGCGCACACATACATCACGTTGATGATTCTCTAACGATATATCGTTCAGCTCTATTGTAAAGGGAAGGTGTGTTTGTGTGCATTTTAAATGTGATGGAKGCAAACATTTACCTTTTATCTATAGCCCTCATTTAGGCCCATGTCATTTGGTAGCCCCCTTTTTTATTTTCATTTTTCTTTTGTAGCCCTCTTTTTGAATATGAGAAGGCTGCTACTGATTAGGACAGGAAGTGATTGTTTTTACACCTTGTTTGTACCACTGTGGGTTTATAAGTGCATGTTTTGAAATGACATACATGTCAAAATATTTCTCTGGAGGTTTAGGAATCTCTGTCAATTTTCTTCTGTCTTGCCTAAGGTGGCACAGCTCTCTGCCCCCCTGCCTGGTTTGTTTCTGTCAAACAAGTCTCCAGCTACTTCCACAAGGTGGTAATTGTTTTCTTTTTTTGCAGATTCAACCCAGCAGCAGTCTTATCTGAAGCCAGGTTGTTTATTTATATTCCRTGACAGCAGTTCCAGATTTTAATTGTTTAAATATGCCAAATTATTAGATTTGAATGTGACAGTTTGACTGAATGTTTTATTTTTTGTTTCCTAAACCCTTGTCCAGAATGGATTTAAGAATATTCTGCCTTTTTGTTCATTATCACTCTGGAGCGTTTTGTACTTTTGTTTTGTATAAAAGACAGTTTTTAACTTTATATAAAATGGTCGAACCTCACTTAATGTTACTAATTCATACAAAATAAAACATTCAAAATGTTTATTTATTTATTTATTTACTTACTTACTCACTCACTCACTCACTCACTCACTCACTCACTCACTCACTCACTC